CAGGAGTGGCAGAGGAAAGAGGAGGACCAGTCTCTACAGTGCATGTCATCTTATCCACTTGATTGTTAAAGTCAATAATCCTTTGGTGAGCATTCACGTGAGATACAATTACCTTTACTGTCTTGGCCCATTCAGAGATATCTATCCACATACCTCTTCCCCACACCTCCTTGTCACCAATTTTCCAATCATATTCCTTCCAATTCCCTGACCATCCAGACAAGCCATTAGTCACAGCTCATGAATCAGTATACAGTCTCACATCTGGCCATTTTTCCCTTCACCGCTGTCCTTTAGGGAGATCCCAGAAAGGGGCTGTAGTGCTGCTGCTGTCCACTTATGAGTGGCACCTGCATATCGTGCAGAGCCATCCATAAACTAAGCATGATTTTTTTGGTCTTCAGTTAAAATATGGTAAGGAGGCCATTGGTGCAGACTGGAAGAAAGAAGGTAATGTGACAGGAGTGGAGACTGTAGGCATTTGGGCCAGTTCTTCATGCAACTTACTTGTCCCTCCAGGTCCTGCTTTGGCCCGATCTTGTATATACCACTTCCATTTAACAATGGAGTGTTGCTATGCATGTCCAACTTTCTGATTCTGTGGGTCAGACAATACCCAGTTCATGATGGGTAGTTCAGGCTTCATGGTGACTTGGTGGCCCATGGTAAAGTGTTCAGTCTCCCCCAAGGCCCAGTAATAGGCCAACAGCTGTTTTTCAAAGGGGGAGTAATTGTCTGCAGAGGATGGCAGGACTTTACTCCAAAATCCCAATGGTCTACGTTGCGATTCACCAATAGGAGTCTGCCAAAGACTCCCCACTGCATCTTTATCTACAACTGACACTTCTAGCACCATCGGGTCAGCTGGATCATATGGTCCCAGTGGCAAAGCAGCTTGCACGGCAGCCTGAACCTGCTGAAGAGCCTTTTCTTGTTCTGGGCCCCACTCAGAATTGGAGGCTTTTCATGTCACTTGATAAATAGGTTGAATTAGAACACCCAAGTGAGGGATATGTTGCCTCCAAAATCCAAAGAGGCCCACTAGGCATTGAGCCTCCTTTTTAGTCGTTGGGGGTAGGGGGGCAGATGCAATAGCTTATTCTTCACTTTAGTAGGAATATCTCGACATGCCCCACACCACTGGATCCCTAGACATTTTACTGAAGTGGAGGGTGCCTGAATATTCCTTGGGTTAATTTCCCAACTCTTGTACACAGATATTGTACCAATGAATCTAGAGTCTTTGACACATCCTCCTTAGTGGGTCCAATCAGCATAATGTCATCAATATAATGTATCAGTGTGACACTTTTCAGAATAGACAGGGGATCAAGGTCCCTTCGGACTAAATTATGGCACAGGGCAGAAGAGTTGATGTACCCCTGGGGGAAAGTTGTGAAAGTATATTGTTGCCCCTGCCAGCTGAAGGCAAACTGTTTCTGGTGGTCCTTCAAGACTGGTATTGAGAAGAAGGCATTAGCCAGATCAATAGGTGCATACCAAGTACCAGGAGAAGTATTAATTTGCTCAAGCAATGAAATCACATCTGGAACGGCAGCTGCAATTGGAGTCATCACCTGGTTAAGTTTACGATAATCCACTGTCATTCTCCAGGGTCCATCTGTCTTCTTTACAGGCCAAATAGGCGAGTTAAATGGGGATGTGGTAGGAATCACCACCCCTGCATCCTTCAAGTCTTTGATGGTGGCACTGATCTCTCCAATCCTTCCAGGAATATGGTACTACTTTTGGTTTACTATTTTCCTAGGCAATGGCAGTTCTAATGGTGTCCACTTGGCCTTTCCTACCATGATAGCCCTTATTCCACATTTCAGGTATCCAATATGGGGGTTCTGCCAGTTACTAAGTATGTCTATTTCAATGATGCATTCTGGAACTGGGGAAATAACCACAGGATGGGTCTGGGGGCCCACTGGACACAGTGAGATGTACCTGAGCTAAAACTCCATTGATAACTTGACCTACATAAGCCCCCACTCTGACTGGTGGGCCTTCGAAACACTTTGGGTCTCCTGGAACTAGTGTCAGTTCCAAGCCAGTGTCTAGTAATCCCTGAAAAGTTCGATTATTTCCTTTCCCCCAATGAACAGTCACTCTTATGAAAGGTCGCAGATCGCTTTGGGGAAGGCTAGAAGAAAGACTAACAGTATAGACCTTCAGTGATGTAGCAGGATCCCCCGTCAAAGGGACCCGGCCTTCATTCAAGGGGTTGTGAGACTGTAAACTGGCTCAGGTCTGGGAATTAAGTGATTGGGACTGTCTATTCTGCTGTTCACCTGATCTACCATTCTTCCGCCTGTATAGATCACGTAAATATTTAGTAGGTTTCTCATCTATTTCATTCCTAGGGACACCATGGCTAAATAGCCAATGCCATAAGTCCACATGAGACAGGTTGTTTTGATTACTACGGAAACCCTGTTGTCAATTATAACCACGTCCACCCTGTCTCTGTTGATTCAGTGCTGATACCTGCCCTCTACCACCATAGGGTCCAATCAGCCCTATTGTGGACAAATGTTGGAGTTCGCTTAGGGCAGTGTTCACTGTTAATCCTGGTGCACATAAAATAGCAATTACAGGAGACTTAAGAAGAGATGCTGGGGCCCACTTCACAAACTTTTTCTTTATGGTTGTGGTAAAGGGTATGTCCTCAGGACACCCCCTTTTTGGGTCTATGGTAATATCCTGATAGATCCATTCCAACATACCAATTTCTCTAAGCCTTTGGATGCCTTCCTCTATAGTGTACCAAGGTAGGTCAGGTACTTCAAGTTAGTTTAATCTAGGCCATCTGGCAGTCCATGCTTCATTGAAACAACCAAATAAAGAATTAGATCCTCTCTTAACCTCTCTCACAGAGACATTGAAAGAAGAATCTGTGCCTACGGGTCCCATATCCAGAAACTCAGACCAGTCTAATATTACATTTCGTGCACCAGTATCCCACACCCTTAGTAACCATTCCCAGGGATATTCCCCAGGCTTCTGCTTGTCCATATTTGAAAACTCAAGCAGATCATTGTGAGTATAGCACACTTCTTCTTGGGTAATCATCTCAAGCTCACCTTTAGGAGCTTTCTGAGGCTTAATTTTAGTGACAGGTCTAGCGGAAATAATGGGTGGTGAGGGTGTTTCCTGGGTGTCCTTAGCAATAATTTGTAAGGCATCTCCCTCAGGCAATGCTACTGATGCAGCCCCACCTGGCATATCAACTTTAACAGTTTGGCTAATCTGCTCAGGTGTGGATTGTTTTATTGATAGTGAATTAATACTTTCAGCTGGGAGGGGTGGATCTATTGACTGGGGTGGGTCAATTGTTTCTAGGGGCTGAGTATCCTCCTCTTCTGGATCATCAGCCCATATGTTCCCATCCCATGTTTCTTCCACATCCCTGCTCTTTCCCACATCTTTGTATTTTGATCTGGCTTCCATTACTTGATGCCTGAGATCAAATGGAATCTTCAGTGAATTAGAAATCAGTAAGCCTCGCTAGTGTTCACTCAGTGAGAAGATCTCCAAAGGATTTTCTTTTCTTTTTAAATCATTTTATTAGGGGCTCTTACAGCTCTTATCACAACCTATACATCCAACCATTGTGTCAAGCACATTTGTATATGTGTTGCCATCATCATTTTCAAAACATTTTCTTTCTACTTGAGCCCTTGGTATCAGCTCATTTCCCCCCTCCCTCCCTTACAAGCCCTTGATAATTTATAAACTGTTATTATTTTTTCATGTCTCACACTGATAAAATAACTCCCTTCACCCATTTTTCTGTTGTCCGTTCCCCAGGGAGGGGGCTATATGTAGAATATTGTGATCAGTTCCCCTTTCTCCGCCCCCCCCCCCACCTTCCCCTTCCCCTCCTTGTATCCGTACTCTCATTGTTGGTCTTGAGGGGTTTATCTGTAGAATAGGTAAATTTATAGAGTAATTGGATTAGTGGTTATCCTCAGGGAAGGTTAGGGAAAAATGGGAAGCTAGTAACGATGATGCAAGAATGAAGAAAATGTTCTAAAATTGATTGTGGTGAAGACAGTACAACCCTTCTAGATGTTTTTGAACTATTGAATTGTATGATATGTGAATTATGTGCCAATTAAACTATTTGAACTTGTGATAAGGAAGTTTAAATTGAGTCTGATTTGAAATAAGAACAGTAGACGACAGGATGTGCCCAAGTTTGCACAAATGTCAGCCTAATTGCAAAATATTCCGTTTCTGTACTCTGCAGCTTTTTAGAAAAACCACAGCAGCTTTTTGGAAAAACTGCAAGCTAAAGATAAGGCAACGTTCTGCCTTAAAAAAAAAAAAAAAGACACCTGTGTGTTATGCCTATAAAAGCTTGTTCCAGGTCGAACACTCGGCAGAATCTGGTGTGGTCCCTCAGCGCTGACTCTGGGTTTGAACTCAATAAACCTTTTAAAGCTGTACTCAGTCTCTGCTCATTTTGTTTATTCAACAACCTGCTTACAACAGAAACAGGCTGTTTAACGAGAGTTCTAACCAAATCTCCAAATTTAAACCATACGGTTCCAGAAAACAGGCAGAGAGAGAAACTACCTATCAATAACCTTGCTATGAGATCAGAAATGGACAGGCCGAAAGAAAGTCGAGGCCATCTGACTCTAGAGACGGATTACACACGCACCTCCAGGGCACTAATCCAGCCCCAGGGCAAACCACCTACCCTAACCCGAACTCTAACGAGAGGGCGCGCCGCCGTCCGCGACTCTCTAGCCGCAGCCTGTTCTCTATGGTTCGCCAAACCACCTACCCTAACCCGAACTCTAACGGGAGGGCGCGCCGCCGTCCGCGACTCTCTAGCCGCAGCCTTCTCTCTATGGTTTCGGGGCGGCAGCGAGGCCCGAGTTTGAAAACGGCGGCGGGAAGGTGGCGGCCATGAGACCCGGTTTCTCCGGACCGGGCGGGCGCTGGGCCTGTGGTCGGTTCTAAACCGCCGGGAAGGGTTCACGATGAACCTTCCTCGCCGGAGGGGGAAACGGCGGCGTTCAGCATCCGGCTCAGACTCCTTCTCGCGAAGCGGCGGCGATGGCGGCGACGGCGCCCAGCTCCCCGCAGGTTCCGTACTGAGCCCGCCGCTGGGCTTGGGCCCCGGCCGCCGGTGGGCTGCGGCGGCAGGTACTCCCGGCACCTGGGGGCAGCGGGGGGCGGTGGACAGCTCCCCTGGGCCGCTTGACTGGAGGTGCCCGGAGGACTTGTCGTTGCGTGGAGTTTGCTGTCGGCACGGTCTGTTTGCTTCCACGCTCCCTCTCCGTGACTGGCCTGGAGCAGCGGATCACTCTCTGGACGCAGACCAGCTTTCTGCTCTTGCTCAGTGACCGCCAGTGGTGCCGTGAGAATGGTGTCAGAGGCTTTCGACTATCACAGGAACAACATGGGCACGTTCCAGACGTTCTCATTGTGGTCTCTAGTCCTTCCCAGGGATACTTCCTTGTTCCGGATTTTGGAGTTTGGAGCCTGGCATTATTAGCTGCGTGTAGGCCAAAGGAAGGCATTTGTGATGCTTCCTTCCATTCGATGTCTTTCCACTAATGCTTTCCTAGAATTGTTGGCCCCATTCATTCCCTTTGGGCTGTGTGTCAGCACAGTATTAAAAATTCCATGGACACTAGCCTGATTTAACTCTGCAAGGTTTGCAGTTCATTTTCTTTTGCCCCTGATTATTTTAACACTCCAATAATTGGGTTGTTTGGGGTGTCTAAGAAACTGCGTTTGTTATGTTTAGTTAAACAATTAGCAGTTCTGGTGTAATGGGTCTCTACTCCAGTATAAAATCACAGTCTGGGAAACTGAAAGGGGCAGGTCTACTGAGTTCTAAAGGGTCGCTTTGAGTTCAAATCGATTTTTTGGCCGTGAGTTTGGAGCTGATTGGAATTTAAAAATTGTCTATACACTACTGTCCATACTATGCTTGAACTTGAGCCCCTTAGATTGGAAGGCACACATATGCACACTTGCTTCGCCTGTGGTGCAGAACCAGCCATTGGTGTTGATCTGCTGTTCCCGGGAACACCAAGAGTCGGACCCAATTAAGGGCACTTAACAACAATAATCAAACTGTTCCTATCACTTTTCTGTCCATGGTCAGTTTCTCATAGCTCTTCAAATTCAGGATGTGCTTTAAATAGCCTCATTCCAACAGAGCAAACCCAATACAGTTCTGTTTGACTTATACAAACAATTAATTACTGTTTTCTTTTTTTCCTGAAAGGGTCATGCGAACAGACACTTCCTGAGGACCAGATAGACAAGCTGCTATTAGCAAATTGGGGACTTCCTCAAACAGTGCTGGAGAAATACCACAGTTTTGGTGTAAAAAAGATGTTTGAATGGCAAGCAGAGTGTCTTTTGCTTGGACAGGTCCTGGAAGGGAAGAATTTAGTCTATTCAGGTATTCATATTTGTGCACTTCACTATTTCACTATTTAGGACATTTTTAATATAAAAGGTAGTATTGAGAACATGGTGAATTTTTTAAAGGTTTATGAGTCCATACTTTATAAAAGTTTGAAAATGTATTTGAAAATATTTATATGTATGTTTAACTTATACAAAGTCCATTAATATGACTAGCACGGGGTTGGGGAACCAAAAAAACACAAGAAATGGGCAATCCATTTTGCCATTCTGCTCAAGAAATACATGTTTCAGAATGTTTCCGTTATCTTGTGCGGCTTGGAAGAAATACTATAAGTAGCTGCCATGAGTGAACAGGAATGCATTTCCTTGACGCTTAGGAGGCTAGAAGTATAAATTCGGGGCACCAGTTCATGAGCACACTCTCAGCACAGGGAGAATGTCTTTGTCTCTTTTCAACTTCTGTTTTTTAATCCATCAAGCTATCATGGGCCTTGGCATCTATCTGCTGTATAATGTTTTTTTATTTTTTAAAAAAAGGACTGAAAACACACCCCCACACTAATATTATTACCTCATTAGCATAACAATGACAGCTCATTCCAAATGGGATTATAACTACAGATATTATTTTATTTCGGAATGGGATTATAACAGCATGATAAACGGAGACAAGATTGAACTTGTCAAGATTTTCATCTTTCTTGGATCTACAATCAATGTTCATGGAAGCAGCAGTCAGGAGACCAAAAGACACAGTGCATTGGATAAATCTGCTGCTCAAGATCTCTTTAAAGTATTGAAAAACAAAAATGTTACTTTGAGGACTAAGGTCCACATGACCTTATGACCTCATGGTATTTTCAGTTGCCTCAGACGCATGTGAAAGTTGGACATTGAATAAGGAAGATGAAAGAAGAATTGATGCATTTGAATTATGGTGCTGGTGAAGAATATGGATAGTGTTATGGACTCAAAATACCAAAGAAATCTGTCTTGGAAGTACAGTCAGATTGCTCCTTAAAAGCAAGAATGACGTGACTATATCTTAATACTTTGGACTTGTTGTCAGGAGAGACCAATCTCTGGAGAAAGACACCCATCATGCTGGGTAAAGTAGAGGGGGAGTGAAAAAGAAGAAGGCCCTTGATGCGATGGATGGACACAATGGCTGCATCAATGAGCTCAAACATAACCATGTGGGGCTGTCATAGGACCGGGTGGTGTTTCCTTCTATTGTACATAGGTTGCTATGGGATTGGAACTGACTTTGTGTCACCTAACAACAACATAGGGGTTGGGAACAAGTCTTGGCGACTCTATTGGGTAAGCACTGGACTGGTAACTGTAAGGTAGGTGGTTCAGACCTACCAGCTGTGTTGGAAACCCAATGTAGAGAATTTAAATGGGAATTGACTTGGAGTGGGTTTGAATATGGGTTAGGATTACATACTTTGGGGAACAGAATTCAAGCTGTAACAGAGTGATTGTGTGATGGGAGATATGAGTCCACCACTCAATTTCAGTTGCTTTTCAGCGTCTGAACATTATGCTTTGTATATAATAAAGTGTCCTGTTAATACAGGGTCGTATCCACAAACCATATGTAATTTACTTTATAGAGGATTGATAGAGACTTTCAGCAGAAACTTAGACATCCACAATTTTTAACTTGTGCTTGGTACACTGAGTTCAGAATCTTACTGTTGGGTAAGATGCTCTTTGCCTATTCTGAGAATAAGGAAGTTATATAAATAAATGAAATCATAAAATAAGTGTCCTTTTTTTTAAAACCTAGCTTGTGTGTCACAAAAGAATTTAAAAATCAGCTTCAATTTTACTTTGTTTTTTTTCATAACCACTCAGACTAGTGTTTAGGTCTGATGGATAAAGAATCTGGAGCGTTTCCCTGCCCACTTTGCATCGCTCTGCCCTCTCCTTCCCGCCGCTGCTCTTGCCATCCTCCACAAAGTCTTTTCCTTTGTTGGGAAAACCATTTTTCTTTCTTCTTCTTTAATAACAGTGTCATGAAATATTATTTATGGTGCTGCGAGCATCTGTGTATGTTTGGGGAGCCTGAAGACCTAGTGGAATGGCTGTGCTGAGCTCTTTAGAAACCTCACCTCTCCTTCGATCATGACACTTCCGTCTGTTTTCAGGCCCGTTACTTTGGTTCAGTTCGCTGTCATCTCCTAGTAATTACGGAAGAGCCTAGCAACTATTTTATCATTTTCTTCTACTCCTTCCCTGCTCCTGCAGCCAGTGATTTTGTTATTTTAAGATATACATTTTTTTAATTAAATACTGTTACTGGGGGCACTTACATCTCATCACAATCCGTCACTCATCCATTGTGTCAAGCACATTTGCACATATGCTGCCATCATCATTTTCAAAGCATTTTCTTTTTTATAAAGGACAAGTACAATCTTGTCATTCCTCCTCATGAAATGCATCGGTTTTAATGCTCTCTGGATGAAGGCTAAATTCTTTATGTGGTTTGTGGCAGTTACATAATCTGTCAACTTGAGGAAGGGGTAGAGTCTAGCCTGTCAATCAGGTCGCAACTTGATCTCATTTGGAGGCACAGAGATAAATAGTTCCCTGGAGGACAGCTACATCTCTGCTTCACATCCCTGTTGACAACCACATGGAGCTACATTGATGGAGCCAGAGCCCTGCAGCTGGAGGAGCCACGTGGGTACCCACGCCAGCACTGAAATGCTTCCACAAGACTTCGCCCACTGGCCTGTGATCTTCCTGCTTTTGGTATCATTGCATGTGCTGCGTGAGTCTATAGAAGAATTCATGCACTAGTAATCGGACGTATGGACTTGATCTGAACTGGGCTGGGATGTTTTCTTAATATACAATTACTCTTTATATAAAGCTCATACATATATGAGTGTCTATGAATTTGTTTCTCTAGTCAACCCAGACTAACACATGGTTAGATTATAAAACCTTTCATCTGGCCCTTTTGATTTTTACTCCCTGACTTGTATTTTATGTTCTTAGTTGACTAATATACTTACAATCATTTGAGCATGTCCAAGTTTCCCTCAGGCCTTTGGACATCTGGATTCTTGTGGCTGTCATTCATACACTCTTCTTCCCTCCCTGTCAATTCTGTCCCCTTTCCATGAGCCTCCTAACAATTCCTCTATTCTTTATCTTCGCTTGTATCACAGTACATTAAAAATTTTCACCTCTTTCCTCAGTGGTCTCTGGGGCAGGGATTTTAACCATTCAGTACTAATGAAAAGGATCTTTAGGTATAAACTAGCACTCCATTATATATATATATATATATATATATATATCAAATTTTCAGTGTGAGATTATTTAGGAAGCTAGAGCAAATGTTTCAAATGTTAGTTGGGGCTTTAATTCTAGCTTAGTGTTAGGCTTTGGAGCTACTAAATAATAGATTAAAACATTTTTTAATGCAGTATGCTAAATGTTACTTTCTGTGATAACCTTTTGAAATAATCATGTTTTAGCACCCACAAGTGCTGGGAAGACTCTTGTTGCTGAATTACTTATTTTGAAACGGGTCTTGGAAATGAGGAAGAAAGCATTGTTTATTTTGCCTTTTGTCTCCGTGGCTAAGGAGAAGAAATACTATCTCCAGGTAATGTTTTTGTACCAAGCTTGAAATAACGAAAGTCCAATTATTGGAACTTTGTCTTCCTTCATTTAAATAGAATTGTAAGGCAAGGGTAAAAAAGCGTTATTGTATCTCAACATAGCTTTAAGTTTACCATTTGTGGAGGGAACTTTTATTTTATCCCATATAGAAGGGCAGAGTAATTGATAAAAATTGGTATAAGTTATAAACTTTTTCTTAGGAAATAAACAGAATACTTTGATTAATAGAATCATGCAAATTAGGAATCAACATTTTGACTGAATAGAACACTAGACTGAAGCATGGAGAAAGAAGACTACTTAATCTCATCTCCATCAAGGGCCCTGTGGGAACACTTAGGGGATGACGATAAGAATCCATTGAGGGGTAGGTCAAGCTCTAGGCCTGTACTCTGTTCCCACGTTCTATCAAAGTGAATAATAACAGTGGCATTTAAATTAAATTCGTTGGTATCTAAGGCATTTTCACAAAACCATGTCTTATTAAATAGAACACATTTACTGCTGTGATTTCTGTTGTGGAAAAATGTGCTTTTGGAATGAAGAGATCATAGTACTGAGAGTTCCAGAAATCTGAGTACTAGTCTCCATTTTGCTGCTATGCTGTCAGCCTGGGCATCTACTTTCCTGGAGCTTGTTTTTAAATTTGGAAAATGCGAATATTAGCCATAGCACAGTGAGTTAACCCAATACACACTCAGAAAAATGTTATTGAAGGAACAGCTCTAAAGGCTTAATGACTTTTAAACAGCTATTTCAGAGGATAAATAGCTAACAAAACTGGTACCACATTGTAACACCCTCTTAACTTAGATCCAAAAACCGAAATGGTGAAAGGATCATTTTAATAAAAAGTAAACTAAACAAGTTAACACCTTAGTCTCACTGCATTTGACTTTATAAAGCTTTTCTTCATATATATATATATATATATATATATATATATGTAGAATATATATATGGTCTTTAATAGAGAATATTTTCATGAAGTATAAATTTGCTTCTTGAAGTTATTACATTGGCATTTAGAAATAGCTAGATTCTTGCTTATTTATTAGATAAAAAATGTTAGTGTTTAAGTTAATTTTTACCCTCAAGGTCAGCAGCTTAAACCCACCAGCTGTTTTGAGGGAGAAAGATGGATCTATCCCTGTTAAAGGTTGACAGTCTCAGAAACACTATAGAGCAGTGGTTCTCAACCTGGGGGTCGCAACCCCTTTGGGGTCGAACGACCCTTTCACAGAGGTTGCCCAATTCATAACAGTAGCAAAATTAACAGTTATGAAATAGAAACAAAAATAACTTTATGGTTGGGGGGTTCACCACAACATAAGGAACTATATGAAAGGTCCCGGCATGAGGAAGGTTGAGAACCACTGCTATCTAGGGTGGTGGCTATGAGATGGAACTGATTTGATAGTGGAGGGTTTTGTTAATTTGTTTTGTGTTAACAGAAGATCTCTACTGAGTTTTGTTAATTCTAAACTGTGTATTTTTAGTATAAATATATATCAGACGAACCTATAGGTCTTGGCTAGGAGTAAATGACAGTAAACTGATAAATGTCCATTATTTATGTCTGTGTTGTGGGATAGAGCTAATGTGTGCTCTGACTTAGCATTCATACATTTCAAATTATCTTTATAAGCTTTGTTTCTTTTACTCAATTCAGAGCTTGTTTCAGGAAGTAGGAGTAAAAGTAGATGGTTATATGGGCAGTACCTCTCCACCAGGGCCTTTCTCTTCCCTGGATGTTGCTGTCTGCACAATTGAGAGAGCCAATGGTCTCATCAATCGCCTCATAGGGGAAAATAAGATGGATCTTTTAGGTAAGACAAATAAGAAACTAAGCAAATACTTCTATTACTGTTTTTGATGGAATGGAGTGGAGCTTCTATTGTTTTTATAAATCCCACGTGTTTTTCTGTTGTTTGTGATACACTTTTGGAGGCAAGAATTAGCTTCTGTAATGTTAAGATCCTATTAGAAGTATGAATTTTGTGTCCTACTGTTGTTATTGCTTATACTACCTTTCTGTTTTTGTACTTTATACATATAGGGGATATGCTTGAGTCCTTGAATGATTTATTGTTCCTTCACTGCTTAAAGTTTACAGTGAAGAAAAGGAAGCACGCAGGGCCTGGGTGCGCCAGCTCCTCAATCAGTATATGTATATGTATTGTCATACTCCAGTGATATTATGTCCAGGTTAGGCCCGGACCTGTCAGTTACTCATAGCAGGGAAACAGGAGAGTAATAGAAACTGGCACTGTATTTGAGCTTGGGATTCCAGGAAGGTTTGCTATCTTCTTTATTTTTTCATACCAAAATGGGGGCCCCCCACATAGAGGTATCAGTAAAAATAAAATGGCTGTACCAACAACAGCAACAGTTGTCCATTAGTTCCTGAATTTAAAATAACATGGTAAGGTTGGAATGGCGCTAAGGATCAAAGTTCAATGATGCACAGACTCTATTAAATGCTTTCTAGAGAACAACCACATGCATCAGTTTGTATTCAAATGCCCTTATTACTGTGGCTTGAGATTGGATCTTAAGTGTTCTATCCAATGCTGCCAGCACAGCATCTAGCACATGGTAGAACAAATGGTTTTAGGATAAATAAATGAAGGTTGACATAACTCATCATGACTTGTAAATAGCTTGCTGATAAGAAAAGGCGCATTATATGTCAAAAGGAAATAGTCTGAAAGATCTTGATTTTGCTGGTGGGAATCTGTGGATGAGCTACCAGTACACTTGGCAATGATAATGTTATGAAACATATAATTAAAGAAGCTATTAGTTGGTGCAAATTTTTAGTAATTACTGAGTAATATTACTCACTGGACTGCTAAACACAAGGTCAGCAGTTCAGAACTACTATCTGCGCTCTTTGGGAGAAACATGCGGCTTCCTACTTCCATAAAGAATTAATAGTCTTAGACAGCCACAGGAACAGTTTTAGTCTGTCTGATAGCGTTACCATGAGCTGGAATTGACTCAGTGACAGTGAATTTTGTTTTTGGTTCTGAATGCATAGACGAGGCCAGTTCTTCACATAGTGAAGAAGGATGTTATGATCATATTTATTCTTTGAAGTAAGGGGATACACTAGCCTCTTGTAATCAAAGAACAACAGAATAATCTCTAAAAAGAATTTATTTCTTTTGATCTGAGTCTGTATGTCCGAGCAACTTGCTAATATGAGAATGGCTTCCCTGTTTGTTTTCCAAAAGAAAAAATCAATACACAGAGTAAGTGACATAAATGTCTTTGATTCTTGTTATATATTTCTGCAAGAGTCAATTTAGATGTGATTAAATAACAAGGAGTTTTTCCTGGGTGGTTAACCCTGAATAAGCAAATAATTTATTTTTATCTAGAATACATGCATTGTATAATAGCCCTTATGACATCTGAAACTGCTTGGAAAAGATTTGCCCATTGTGTGGAATCTACGTTTTATGGTTAGAGATTTGCATCAACATATTATAATGATTGATACTTACTGTATGAGGTATAATACTGAGTTTTTAAAACTCTTCTCCGAACTCTGAAATTCTGTAAAATGCATTATCTGGAACATCTCTTTAGGAATAGTGGTTGTGGATGAATTACATATGCTGGGAGACTCACACCGGGGGTACCTGCTGGAACTTCTGCTGACCAAGATTTGCTACATTACTCACAAATCAGTATACTGGTGAGTACATGAAGTAATGGAATTTCCAAACAATGTTAAGAAAGTGCCATGTAAGTTTATAATGAACAGTTTAATGGATTGATACAGGAGGGTAGTGTGCCAAAAGAAATACTTCAGACTGAGATTGAGTTTAGATTACTTTATAAGTGTTCTTTATGTTTGACTACTCACTTAGCTTGATCTTGGTGTATAGACTTTTATGATAGATTTTAAAAGATCTCGTTTTTGTTATGTAATTAACATGCATGTATAATTTAAGTCAAACCCCAAATCCAGTGCCACTGAGCCAGTAGTGACCCTATAGGACACAGTAGAACTGCTCCATAGAGTTGCTGAGGCATAAATCTTTACAGAAACAGAGGAAATGGCGTGGGGCCCATATCTGACCTCCTTTGGCTACACACAGGAAGCGAATCCAACTCTATAGCAGCTTAAGGCTGATGACCAAAAGGTAGAGGTCAGACATGCCTCTACTCTCCATCATTGTTTTATCCCATTCTGGCACCTGGTCTCCCATAGCACTCTTCTGGGTTCAATAATCTGTTGCAATGGCCACAAAGAACTCAAGACAATACTCACAATTGCAGGGTCAGAAAACACTAAGCATACAATCTTAGTGTTGACCTACAGTCACACTCTTGTCAGTCAGCAGCCAACTCTTTCATTTGCCCTCAGTCTTTCAGTCATGCAGTTCCTTGGCTTCTGTCCTGCCTCTGTCAGCCAGGAAGTCCATCTGCTCTGCCACGCACCTCATGTTTCCAGAGACTTCGCTCCTTTTCTGTGTCTTGGCCTGACTCCTCTGCTGCTACTACCACTTCAGGCAGCGATCTCGTGTGCTCTGCTGGTAACTCTTCTCTCTTGATGGTCATAAAAATGGCTCGCTAGGTCTGGGGGGCTGGTACCAGTCCCAAATACTAAGTGGATGCCTGCCCCTCCCCCCAGAAGAATTTATTTCAAAGTGCGGCACTGAATCTGCAGCTCCCAGAGAGGGACATATATAATCGGAGCACACAGGAGCAGATGACGGGGGAGGGGGAGGGCAGAGAGAGGAGAGACTGGAGCACATCCTGGCCCACCAGGCCTTGAGGATGATGACCCCAATTAGAGCAGCCAGTCCAAAGAGAGGACCACAGGGCTAGCCCCACTATGAGACATGATGCCCCTCACTGACCCATGGCCCTGCGGGGGACAACACCAGAGACACAGTGTGGGAATCTGATCCCACCACACCAAGACAAAGCACTGGGGGAGTGCAGTGGAACAGCAAGGGAATGGAACAGCAAGGTCCCCAGGGAATGTTGAAGGCAGACTTTGGGGCCAGGGCATGGTGCCCCAACAGACTGGACTGGAAAACACTCCTAAAGGCCAACAATCCTT